CCTATTGTAGCAGGTGGGTAGGAATAAGTTTCCTCGGCGGCCTCATTATTTACTGCAATTTAATTTATTTTGAATAGCCTTTTAGCCGATGTTAGTCCGTGTTTTTTCATTTAAATTTTTCCTCGAATAAATATAAATATAAAGGACACAAAACGTTAGTCCGATCTGAAAATTTTTTTGACACAACTTTCTGGTAGAAAGTTTATAATCATCGCTTCGCCACTATTTGACTTAGAAGCTGAGGTTGGGATAGAGAGGAAATCCGTGATAATAAAGAGTTTTGACTAATCATAAACAATCTAGCGCTACGTAAAAAATTACGTATTGGCCATAGTGGCGTAGTGTAATCCCGGAGCGACTGGCAGCGATGGTGTGACGAACTATGTAAATGTGCTGGAAGTCAATGGATGCGGGTGGATCTATCTTCTTGGTGGGTCGGTGCGAAGGCCTATGTCCAGCAGTGGACTAAAATAGGCTAAAATGCTGGTGATGATGATCCGTGACAATATATTGATCAGTCAGGAACTATTGACCTGTTCAGTATCATACTTAACTTGACAAACCAAACTTGATTACAATACATTTAGTTAAATATATTTTAATATATCATTCACATATTTTTCTTAATTTATTTATAACAATAGATTATAAAAGTACATTTTTGTCACATAAGATATAATTTTGGAATTATCGCAACCCAATGGTATTAGATAATAGGCCTTTATGACACTGGCCGACGCGGTTAGAGCAATCCCAGATTCAGATGTAACTCAAATGCGAACAACATATTTCGTGGCATCATTTGTTATTTTCCTTACAATTTAGCAACATGAAAAACTGGAAAGTGACAAAATAAATTCATGGGTCCAGTCGGCGGGCGTGAATGCTACTTTAGAGACGTTGCGTCGGTGATCGGCGTAACTGTTTGTTTAAAACTATTTACCCAAAACTTAGTTTCTTAACAGTGTTTCGTATTCGCGTAAATATACGAAATCCATAAAACGCTCCTAAGACGCAACATCTGGTGTTGTCAAAGTCGCGTTAAAATTTATTATGAAGGGTCCTTTGTTTTCATACTCCTTATGGGGGGTCACGCCAATCATTTTAGCAATTATAGACTGACCAGTAGTTTCAACACGGCCTTATTAATCTGAACTAAACTTAATCACACTTTAGCGAATCCGTATCGCTATCCCTACTTTGTATTTGTAGCGGGAGCAGTGGAAATCGAAGTTTATTGTGGCGCATGCAAATCTCCCGGCCCGTTTGTACTGTAATGCTGTCGTCTCCCTCTAAACGCTAGCAACAGAGGGTGACGGTGAATAATTTAGAGCGCCGCGTACGTCACATGTTAATAACGACTGCTTAATTTCGCGTCGTGGGTTAAGAGGAAGCGGCATATTTGAAGCTCTGTAAATGTTAAGCATCGATGATTTTTACAGATGATGACACAGCACAGTCTAAGTACGTATCTGGTACCTGAGTACTTAGTCTTATTGGATATAGTCGTTTTGAGAATTTTTCACAGATACATACATATTTATTTTACCTGGTCCGGTAAACGTCCGGTTCAAACGTGAGGCGCGACCGCTAACTAATCCCACTCACCCTGATCACGGACCTCCGATGAGTCCGATACTAGTATATACACCGGGTTTACGTGAGTTCAGTAGTCTTGTTATTACGTTGTTGAAAGTTATTCAAAATTTCTTTATTCAATGTAGGCATTTTTAAGCTCTTATCGAACGTCGAATTACTACTAACAGTACAACAAATTAACCTTTTATTATATCAAGTTTTTACAGGGCTAATCTCTACACTTAGACGAAACATTACTGTTTGTAATAAAATTAACGAAAAGTTTTTCGCCGTCGCGGCAATCGAACCTCAATCGAGCGGCTTCTTGGTAAGCCGCTCAACTTAATGGTTGAAGCGTCTGGCTGCGATTGCGGTTGACGCGGGTTCGATTACCGCTTACCACAGCGTACCTTTGTGTACCAAACTTTGTGGATTTCCTTACAAATTTTAAATTCCCTTGTATTCTGGCGTGCATAGCTCCTCCTTAACCAAGGACGTATGGCTCCTTCTCCCTGCGAGTATCGGTGTGTTCGCCGCTCGCGTTTTAATAGCCCAACTTCCGGGTCAATTTTAAACGTTGCGAGTTCACCGTCTCGATTGAATGTCGTCGGATCGATGCCCCGTTCGAGGCATATGTGTGTGAAACCAGCACAGACAGTGACAAACGATAAGCGATATCGGTTTATATTGTTGAGTAGTGGCTTTGAAGATGGCAAGCAAGCTGGACGTTCACCTGATGTTAAGTGATAACCGCCACCCATGGAGATTTACAGCACCCGTATGGTTGCAGAAGCGGGACTAACTTTTGATAAAGTGGGCACAGGTTACCTCACTTACCAGATGAAAAACACAGGGTAATACTTCAACTTCACGCCGGTCTTTGTGAGGTTGTGGTACTTCCCCGGACGGACCTGTCCATTTTTGCAACAGTGAATACTGTTGCGTGGCAATACCACCACATAGTAACGCCTTATGGTGAAGTAATTTTTTAGGACACGTTCTTTTTACGCAACATTCTCTAGTCCCAAACTAAGCAATGTTTGTACTATGGGTACTAGAAAACTGATAGACATACTTAAACATACTTTTCTTTTGTAAATAAATACACATTATACATATATAAACACCAAACACTAGAAAACCACTATGCTCATCACAGAATATTTTTCCAGTAGTGGGGATCGAACCCACACCCTCTGGCGCAGAACGCAGGTACACTGCCGACTACGCCATTCGGGTCGTCAAGTATAGAAAACATAATTATCACCATAGGCCCGTTTTCTACAGATGGTTATGTATGATTGTAATTGAAACATCTCTCTAAAGCAATAATAGATTAAATTCACTATTTCACTGTTTCTTGTCTAAAATGCGAGTCACTGTACGATAGTCATCATTTGTTATTTAATAGCGTCGAATTAAGCCCTGCTCTAGGAACAATAAATGAATTAGAATCGGTAAAAACACTACAAAATTTATTGGAAAATTTTATTTTTTATTTAATTACTACCGACCTGCCCCGGCTTCGCATAGGTGCAATGCTGAAATATTGTTTTCGACATCGCATTAGAAACCAGTAAAATTATCATTGTTTCTCTACTATATTACGCATGAATTATACATATAAACCTTCCCCTTGAATCGCTCTATTTATTAAAGAAAACCGCATCAAAATTCGTTGCGTAGTTTTAAAGATCTAAGCATATATAGGGACAGACAGACAGCGGGCCCACTTTGTTTTATACTATGTAGAGATAAATAATCTAATTCCTCGCATGATTGGAGCCGATTTTATAGCAAAAATTAACAGTTAAGGCCGCATACGACCGCCGTTAACTTGTCTCTCTCTTACTTAACGGCCTCCGCCTGAATAAAAGACCTCACCGCCGACCCCATAAACAACGGTGGACCATTAGCTAGGCGCTTAAAAGGCTGTTCAGCAATATTAACCCTTTACAATAAATATGTCCTGAGTGGTTATTTAAAAGTGCCCAGGTGGGCCTGAGCGGGCCGCGAGAGTTATGCCCGCATTTGAGTGTTAAATAATTAGCCGTTCTAATTCTCGAGGTGGAGTGTTTCCAGTGGCATTATCGCAATTTAATTTCCTTCTAGTAGCATTATAATTACCGACGAGGTAATAGGATGAGTCGAAACACGTCAGCAGATTGACTAGTTTAAAATAACGCCGACTCTAAACATGCACGAGTTATCTTTTTTCTATTCAACTCATCAACGTAGAATCCACGAAGACAATTACCCAACACCGTCCGTAGTCATCAATTACACTGGTGTATTATTAATGGCTATTTATTTATTTATTTTATTATTTATACAAACAAAATATTTACAACGACGTTCTTAATGTCATCGGCATCGGTGGTAAAGAGAAGGCTAGGTAGGAAAAATCAAATCAAGAAATATTTTTTTATTTGATTTTTCAATGTAGTGTGTTATATTAAAAACAATAATAATACTATATATTCCAATATGAACATACAATTATGTAAACATAATTATTTACTATAAAATTTTAGTTAAAATTTTAGTTTTGTTAAATTTTTCTCACACTGGTTTGTAGATATTACATTATTTTAATTAGGGTTTTATGTTTTTTTTATGTGAAAAGTTGCCAAACGAGCAGACGGTTCACCTGATGTTAAGTGAATACCGCCACCCATAGACATCTGCTACACCCGAGGGTTTGCAGATGCGTTGACAACCTTTTTGGAAATTGGGCTCCGGCTACCTCACTCACCAGACGTAACGTGAAAGTATTTGTCATACTTCCACTTTACGCCGATCTTCTGTGAGGTCGTGGTACTTACCCGGACGAGCCTGCCCATTCGTGCAACAGCCGAGGCTGCTGCTTGGCTCTACCACCGTCGAATGTGTACCATGTTAAAAAAGCTGTGTCCACCTGTAATTATTGGAACATTTTACGACTTATTTTTTTATTGCTTTGCATGCTTAATATCTCCAATGTTGGTGAACTTTAATAAATAAATAAATAAATTTACGTAATACATACAACGTAATACACACATAGATTTATAAATTAATAAATACGATCAGTTGGGATAAAATTGTCGTATCTAAAATGTGTTATATTATTTTTTTTAGAACTATGTCGAAGAATCTGGAAGTGGAATTTCTGGAGCATTATCTCGGATCCTGGACACGCAAAAACTAACCGACGGTCAAACCAGCGAAAAACTGCGAGGTAATAAACATTTATAGCTGTCACGTGAATAGCAACTAAGTCTTATCTAAATACTGCTTATAATTGCTCAGGTTTTATGAATTTTTTAAATGTTTAAAAAATTTTATGACAACATAACAATAACCAATTAATTTCACATTTTGCAGACTTCTATAAACGACTTATTCAAACCGATGCTCGCATAAAAAAGTTGAAAAAGCAAATGGATATGTCCTCGATTACTTACAATACTGTTGATGACCTTAATGTTAATAGTAATGTACCGGATAGATATAAGAGGTCGTTGATGTCTGTCAACAATCCGTCATTTTATGATTCACAAAGGAAAGAAATAGATTACGATATGAAAGTAGATTTGAGTAAATTCAACATTTTCTATCCACCGTTCGTCGGTGTAAGAAACGAAGCTATCAAACCGAGGATCAAAAGGGCCGACGAAGATATCTTCAACAAGCAACCGGCGGGGATTATAATCGAGAAGAAGAAAGTGATGGTTCAGTACGCTCCAGTGGAGAGAAAGCGAAATTTTCCCAAATGCTCTCACACGCCGAAGGAATCTAAATCTCACGAAAAGCAGCTCAAACACCCATTCTACAAGAATTCACAGCGCTTGGACGAGCTTTTAGATCAGTTGCTGGAAAATAAAATCGACAAAGTAATATCGAGCCCTTTAAACCTGGGCTTTCTTATTGGTGATCGAGAAAAATGCAAGCATTCTAAGCAGGAGCAAGAAGAAACGCCACGTTTGGATTATGATTTACAGAAACAGGATGCATTAAACCCGACTGAAGCTTCAGAAGACGAGAACAAGTTCACTAGTGCTGAAAATACAGATGTCAATTTAGATTCCGCCCCGGAAGATATTTTTAAGCTATCAGAGATTAAGAGACAGAATCCTAATTCTGATGCGAAGTCAAGTTTGATTGACAAAGAAGAATTACACAAAGACGAAAACGATGAGAGAAATAGACATTCTCTTCGTTCCACTACATCGCCTTATGATGTTTTATTAAGCGTATCTACATTAATGTAGGTATTTTTTTTACAATTAATATTTTCTTTGTGTGAAAAGTTGCTAATGAGTAGGCGGTTCACCTGATGTGTAATAAATATCGCCGCCTATGGCTATCTACAACGCCCGATAGACAACCTTTAAAAAGCGGGCCCCAGCTACCTACCTAACTCACCAGACAAAACGCGAAAGTGTAATACTTCCACTTTATTACCTTTTATTCCGATCTAAATAAAAAATAATAAAATAAGTGACGATAGCCGGGGCTAACTTCGGCATCAAGAAGTGAAATACCGGACAGTCTGAGACTGTCCGGTGACTACAGGAAAGGGTTCGAAACATCGGGAATTAAAAATCATAATTAAAACTCAATAAAATCCGTAAACTAGTTTCATGTAATATGTATAATATTTGCGTAAAATCAAGAAATAAATATGTAAAACAACTTTTTTAGGAACTCAGGTTCTGCCAATATCAATAAAATGTCAAAAACAAAGCCTGAAGAACATTTCAAGAAACGTAAACTCCTACAATTGAACGAAGAAAACGATGAAACCCTGGGTTATGAGGATTTCAAAGAGGTTTTAGCTGATGACACTGATTCACATGACGAAACTGACAAACAAGTTGAAAGAGATAAGCGATCTGAGGTAGGCTCTTAATAACGTCTTTACAAAATGTTATTATTGCAGTACGTAATTAATATTATAAAAATATATTGTATTCATGAACAATGTCGACCCAAAAAAAACAATCGATGACCCAAAATTTCAATACAATATTTGATTGTTAATAATTACTTTCAGAATTCAGATAGAAAAAATGCAAGGGAATCCAACAAATATAATAATCCTCCTGTATACAATCCGAACTGGAAAGGTTCGATGCAACTTTACCCCGATGAACTGAACTTAATAACGAAACCGGCTGCTGCTCAAAATTCTAAGGTTGAGTTGCCTGCCTCTATTAAAGCAATGGCCCCTCAGGATGTGAATGTTAAAGTTACAGATACCGAATATGTTGAAGACTACTTGAACAATAAATATGCTAAGTTGGCGCAAGCATATAGTGATTACGGAGTGTTAGCAGAAAAGAAGGAATATGTTACAAACGGAAAGAGTACTGTAGTCACAGAGAGCAACATGCCACAACATAAATTTAACAAAGACGAAGCATTGCCAGAAAAGGAGCAAAATATGAAAAGTTACGTTTTGAAAAAGCGGAGAAACGCAAATTTGCGTAGGTATTTATAACTTTTTATCACTACTTTAAGTTTATATTACAGCCATTAGCAAAACATTAAGAAATAAATTACTTAAAAATTGTAGTCATCAATAGGAATTTTAAAGTTTATAATTTAAATTGATTACAATTAAAATGAACCTTATCTGCAATCTATTGCTATAAACTACCCTAATCGCTACCTGAAGTATTCCATGATATAATGATGTAACGTAAGTTATACGAAATTATTTTTTCATTTTCAGTCAGTCCGGCGCAAGAAAGTACAAAATTTGAAGTACAATCCTCCAACACAACACATTTTCTAGATGCTTTTAATATTTCTGGACTTAATTCTAATGATAATAGTGATCCCAATAGCTCTAAATTTATGCCATTGTCTAATGATAAATCAGGGGAAAAGCAAATTCAGTTCCCCAAATATCGAATAGAAAGATCATTAAAATCAGTGAATATTGAAGAATTGAAAGAAGATCTCGTTATCAAAGATGAAAAAGAAATAGTTCCCTTTTTAATGAAGGAAATCAAACAGGAAAAAATTAATGAAACAAGTGTTGGTGGAAACAAAACTTTGGAAGGATTCAGCGATATTTTACGTACTCTGTCTGATTGGTTTTTGACTTTAGCAAAATTGTCTGGTGACTTTGGTAATAACACTAAGTCCCCACAGTAAGTGCTTAATGATAAAATCTTCATTTGTATATTATTCACAATTTTCACTAAACATTGGCTTTGATATACTAAACACGGAAAAAAATATGTGATTGAATATTTGTTAATGAAGGACTTATGTTTGGGATTGCCATATTTGTCAACCTATTTTATAGCAGATATTTAGATTAAAAAGTCTGTTTATTATCAGAACTTATCCATAGCCAGCTGTTGAAGTGATATAGATATTTGAAATTTAATAATAATCTCGTACTTAAAATCGATTTATTATCACATCAGGAACAACCATACCTTAGGACCAACCCTACTGACATCAGAAAATATCACGAAAGACATAGCATACCCGATGTACGATGCAGACATGATTGATAATATCGGTCATAGGTCTAGAGCGCTGTTGGCTATTGATGAAATCATTAGTAATACGTCTTCATTGTCAAAGAACGTGACAGATCTGAAAAAGGAGGAAATCATGACAGCTGAAATGAACACAGGTAAATCAAAATTAAGTCAAACAGATATTTTTTGAAATAAATACAGAAAATGCCATTCTATAAATAAATTAAGTCTATATATAATTTATAAATCTGCATTGTTCAAAATGTATTTGTTTATAATTGTTTTTGTAAAGAAACTGCTTTTAAAAGATAATAAATGGTAACTAAACATGGATGATAATTATTATTGAGTATAAAAAACTATGATACGTATTTGAATCATTCAAAATTAATTGTAATATCTTATTTTTACTTTAAATGTAAGTAATTAGTTATTAATGCATACTGAATTCATTTAGGACGTACAATCTTAATACATTTTGTTAATGTTGTTCTTGGTGCGTATTTTAATAATTTCATTTATTTCAGATCCATCTCAAACGCTTACTAACAATACGAGCAAAACAATTGCCACGGTAAAACAACCAAAGGTAAACGTCACCGAAGTCTCCAACAAAACATATACGGTGCCAACCACAAAAGATAATAGAACCGTCATCAAAAGAGCAGCGGACAGTAATCTGATTTTCTGGAATGACATATACGATGACGAGTACGGCGTTAAAGTCGACCACTTCGACAACGAACAGAGAAACAAGCATTCAGCCGATAACGAGAGTTTCGTGAAGCGCTCGGGGCAATGGATCAACAAGAAGTTTCGGAAGCTAGAAGACCGCATACGCACCGAATACCGTTCTAAGAAGAACTGGAGACAAACTTCGAAGTCGAGACCTTTACGCAGTGTCGATGAGTTTAGGTTCGACCTTTATTATTAACAACGCATGTGAAATTTGACTATATTTAAAAACCGTCGTAATCATAAATAAGATGTGGACAAACAGATGGTCTGTCTTGTGAGTTCTCTTGTAATTTTTTCTTATATGAGGCTGCCTAGTGCAACCCCATATAAGAAATAAGAAATAAATTGAAAGCGATACTTTCAGTTTTGATATTTCTAATTGGCACAGCGTGGTAAAACATATTTAAATAATATCTTTATCTACAAATATAACTTTCGAGTACAGACTAAAGCATAACTTTTCTTTTAGACCCGGTTATCATTTACAAAAGGATCAAAGTGATCTGTTTGGTGCGAAAATGGCAGCAGAGGTAAAAACAAATTTCTTACTTGTAACATTATGTGTGTAATATACTGTCAGCTAATATTCGGTTATTGCTACCCGAAGTACCCTTACATTGATTGACCTACCTTTCAGCGGTAACAATTAGAGATTAATATTATTCTAGATATTAAACTAAAATCGTGTTTTTCAGGATAAAGAGACCGACAAGGCGTTTGACTTTGCTACTCTGACAGCAAACATGAAACAAATATGCCATGAGGCATCAAAAGCTCTACAAAAGACCAGAAAAATAAATGGTTGTACGCTTATTTGATTAACTGTTTCTGCACATATGATACTAACACATATACTAACTGGATGTTTTTTTCATAAATTGCAACAATTCTTGACGTCACTTCTGTTATTACTTGAACGCTGTTTTCAATATAATAACCAATCTACTCCACTGCTGAACATAGACATAACTATTTCAGTACTTAAATATTTCGGATAAATATTAATTAGTTGAAAAGAGCAATCGTATACGTAGCTACCGCAGTTCGAATCTGTTTATTCAGTAAAGTATAATTGATATAAATATTCTTTAATGTTTGCTTTTAGGAAAGAAAGTTGGGTTACGTTTATAAGTTTTTTTTTTTGTTTTGGGAAAAATGATTCCAACGTTATATATTAGTATCTTTAAATGTTTCTTCTATGATAAGCAATGAAATAGGGGTAACTGTTTACGTCAACAGCTAATTAGATGTAAGCATTTTTTCCTCGAAGTTTTATCTTTCTAACCATTATATATATTGTAATTAAGTGTACTTTCACAACGGCAAATATACAGTAGGGCGACAAAGTTTTATTAATTACTAACGACTCGCCCCGGCTTCGCAAGTAAAAACAATGTATTATATATATATATATATATATATATATATATATATATATATATATATATATACCTTCCTCTTGAATCACTCCATCTAGTAAAAAAAACGCATCAAGATCCATTGTGTAGTTTTCAAGATCTAAGCATACAGACAGAAAACGGTACGACTTGGTTTTATACTGTGTAGTGATTAATTTTTTTTTTTGTTTTTAGTCCGTCAAGACAAAAGTGAGATAGAGGCGACGTCTTTAATGCAACAACTGGTCAGACTCATGACTGATTTAGTTGATTTCCAAGTGCAGCAGAAAACGTGCTCTAGTTAGTTAAATATTGGTAATTCTATTGGCTCTGAGGTCAGAAAAGCGACTTTTCCGAGATACGGAAAACGACATACATCAATAATTGTCCTGTTTTGGTATTTTTCCATGTAAAAGTAACTGTTATATTAGTTCTAGGGAGAAAATCGTGGCACGTGTTGCAATTAAAGCCTTCTTATGAGAATTCGGCAAGCGAGTAGTTTATCTGATGTTAAGTTATTGCTAGGGCGTTGCAGATACAGTTGCGTTGCTAGTCTTTAAATAAGTGGGCCCTGGTTAACTCACTAAGAGGAAGAAACCCGATTATATAATACTTCCGAGCCGATCTTCTGTGAGGTCGTATTACTTACCCGGACGAATTAGCTCTTTCGTAACACAAAAGCTTGAGAGAGCCGTGATAGCTCTGTGTCCGGGCGGTCGCCTTTATTTCAATATACTCGAGCAACCTGATTTCGATCCCCGGTGCCGGCACCAATGAAGTTTTTAACTTATAAGTGCTGACTTATCACGTGCTCCGCGATGAAGGCAAACATCGTGAGGAAACCTGCATATTTTCGAAATAATAACAAAAAAAAATATTTTTCGAAGATATGTGGAGTCCGCCAATCCGCAGTGGGGCCGCATGACGGACTATGCCCTGATACGCTCTGTATAGAGGAGGCCTTTGCCCAGCAGTGGGACAATTATAGGCTGTTACTTTACTTTTTTACTTTAAGCTGCCGTGTGGCTCTACCTCAGTTAAATATAATATGTGTTACCATAGAAATTTGTAATATACTGTCGACAATATTTATCCTCGATGTCAGGATTCGAAGCTGCACCATCGCGCACCACGCACCCATACGCCCTAGTCACTAAGCTAAGCTAATTAAATATGAAATTAAAGGATTCAATCATCAACAGGATATGGTAAAATAAAATATGAACTTAAAGATGCAACATCCGTTGCATCTTATTGTCTTTTTTAGAATACTGTACTATATTTCTCCTACTTGTTCCTCATTATTAATATGTACCATTTACTTCCATTTTGCAGTGTTGCCACCGGACCTGGCTGAGTTTTTACAATGGCTCACCTCTCCAAATTCAGATGATACCAATGATAATAAATTCACTGCAACGAATAATGACGCCAATGACCAGTTCCCCAAAACAGGTATTTGCTATAAGCAAATTAGGAATGAAGTAAAATAAAGAAGACATTTCTCTATGATAAGCTTGCTAAGGTTGATTTCATGGGCGGTGGGTGAAATTCCCGTAAAGGACAAATATATCTGCATGAATTTCTGATGATTGTTCCGGATGTGGGTGTTTATTTCTATGCACGAATGTGCACATAATGTCTCTACGAAACGGTGTTTACCGGATCTGTAATTTTCTGATTGACTTCTTTCAAATATGATATGATGATGGACGATGATCTATCTAAATGTAGATTTGGTTATTAGCGACAGGTATTTGACAGTAGTTGCGTCAAAATTCTTCAGTAACCAAATCCACACTTAGATAGATCACTGTCCGTCGGTATATCATATTTTATTATTGGGTTGGTTTGGTTGTTATCGAAAACGGCCGTTGGTCAAGTTACTTATCTTGCTGACAGAATCGCCTAGTGACGGTATACCGGACTATATCACGCCTTTTTCAAGACAGGGACGTGAGGTCCCAAAGACAGAATACGTTAACACCCTCCGAGCGGTGCGGGAGCTCCTTCGCCAATACGAGGACTTCGACGATGATTTCAAGGTTTAACTATTTTTTTTTTGAATGAACAAAATGAGCTATAAGTTTAAGTAATACATTAAATATAAACTGTAGTTATATTAAACATTAGCTAAATATAATAATTTCTTGCATTTACGTGAAACTATGTTTACGGATTTATCGCGTTTATATTTGAGTAAGTCCCGGGACCATGTACGCCGTAAATGGTTTTAAAATGTCGGGAGTTAAAGCCAAATATAGTTTCATTTAGTAATAAGCTACATATGTCAAAGTTTTGTATTGTAGACCGAAGTTAAAGGTACTAACAACAGCAAATAAATTAAACTTTTAGAAAACACTTGCTGGTGTCAAGGAATATCTGCAAGAGCAGGTGGAATTTCTCACGAAACAACTGCGCTTTTATAACGATTATAATGTGAGTAATATTGAATAAATTAGACTTACAGTCGGCGGAAAGTTTTATTGCCTTCTATGTTCTGACCCGGATACGTTTGTATTGAAAAATCTCAAAAAATCAAGTCAATTTTTTTATTGTTATATTTGAGATGCAAAAAAATTACTAACTTTCGAGAATTTTTGCGAATGATTACAGTACTAAGATATCTTTCACACCATTTTGCGTAATGTTTATCTGCGCGTGCGTGCTAAACTAACAGATCGTTTGTTAAATGGACTTTTTTTTTTTCTTCAAACCTAAAGAGCATTGGCAAATTTTTCAGCATTCCTTGCCATTTATTATCACTTATTTCTACTCTGTCATTCATATAAACATGAACCAAATTGAATCTCGTGCTCCTCTTGGTCTCGTTTGTAGAATAATAGTGCAACAAGACTAATTCAGATAAATTTGCACGTTTTTCGATTTTTTTTATCAGATTCCCTCTACGGTTGCGAAATTCTTACGGAAACGCGACGCGCTACTGCGCCGCAAACGCCACATGAGACAGGACCGAGGCAAGGCGCAGGTTGTCCGAAAACAGCCACTCACGAAGCGTATCAACAAGTTCATCAAAAAATCTGGCGTCAAGCGGACGAGGACGACGTCTAACTACTACGATTCAATCGCAACTGAGGGCTTGAGGAAGAGGAAGCACAGAGGGGATAGGTTGGACCCTAGTGGAAAACCAAAGACCACCGTGCAAACCGGCGCAGCCATAAACGCATCCTGTAAAGTTAGTTAAAAATGTGGTCGCTTATGCTAATGTGTAAAAGTGAATACGTAGTTTTAAATGCGAAATAACCATTCAAATTGTAATTTAGTAACTTCGGAACTTTTTTGTCTTACTATTTTTTTCCTAATGTTAAAACAAGTTACAGATTGTAATTACTATACGTTGTTATTCTTAATTATATACAAAATTTTGTTTTATTATAGGATTTACTTTCGATGTATTATAGTGGAATAATTAATTAGATAACCCGTGTTTTATTATCTATGGTTAATGTAAATAATATCCTCTTTGAAAAATATTCGAGATAGTAAGCGTTAATATCTTTTTTTCAAGGCCTTATAAAATTTGGATGTAGCTATCGTTAATGTTACTTATGATTCAATGCTCTGATCGCAGTTTAAATGCATAATTTCGGTGGATTTTTATTGTCATTAGTCCAGAATTTTTACTGCCATATGATGTAGATAGATTGGGTCATCTCCTCTTAATTGTATGAAACCTTTCCGTAAACAGTTAACTCTAATTGTTAGCTATAATTGCATATGTTGAACGGATGTTCAAAAATAACATCATGTTAGTAAATTTAATGAATACGAAACTCGGGTGAAATAATAAACAAAAACCAAAATTTCTTGTATTTACGCGATTACACATTATAAATGAAACTAATTTTACGTCTGTCCCGTGACCATGAACGCTGTAAAGGGTTCGAAACGTCGGGAATTAAAATTAAAAATAAACGCGATAAATCCGTAAAATTAGTTTCATTTAAAAACCAAAATTATAAAATAAAGTTATAAAAAAAAATAAATGACTAAAAAGAAAACCGACTTCAAAAATCACACGCATTCTACTTTTCGTCTTCTTCTTAAAGTAAAAAGTAAAGTAACAGCCTATACATGTCCCACTGCTGGGCAAAGGCCTCCTCTATATAGAGGGTATCAGGGCATAGTCCAGCACGCGGCCCCACTGCGGATTGGCGGACTTCACATATCTTCGAAATATTTTTTTTGTTATTATTTCGAAAATATGCAGGTTTCCTCACGATGTTTTCCTTCACCGCGGAGCACAGCACTTATAGTTAAAAACTTCAGCGGTGCCGGCACCGGGGATTGAACTCAGGTTGCTCGAGTATATTGAATTAAAGGCGAGCGCCCAGACACTGAGCTATCACGGCTCTTCTACTTGATTTTGAAGAATTATCCAAAGTCTGAAATCACGACATCAATATGGGACCCATGGGACCACATGGGTCGTAAACCTTTTTTTTTTTGGTATCGGGGGGGAAATCTTCAAAAGATACCCTGTCACTTTGCATGACAGGGTTATCTGGGGTTCTTACCCACCAAAACCCCCTCGGTGGCCGCCTTCTGTACATTTGGAGGGACTCCGGGATCTCCCATGGAACGCACCGGTGTCCCTCGGTACTACGCCTGAGCACGCCTCACAGAAGGATAAACCTTCTCCGATCCCCTCACCCTCTTGCAGCGACACGAGACCACTTCGTGCTGCTGCCCATCCGTGTCCCCTTTTAGTCGCCTTTTACGACAGGCAGGGGATACCTTAGCCCTATTCTATGAGCCCGGGACGACCTAAACCTAACCGAATTCAAGAATAACTTTTAAAATCGGTTAAAACAGAGTGAGGTTACAAACATAAAGACAACCGAATTGAGAACTCCTCCTTTTTTGAAGTAGGTTGAAAAATGAACGAGTGCACTTGAACAGATAGTGTCAATGAACAAATTTGTATTTACCGAATACGATTTCGATGCATACTCGTGCTCTTCAAGTAATCAAGAGTAAACGTACTCCCCCAACGCTAAGTTCAGTTTCAGGGAGCCATCATAGCTGGAGCGGTAATAAAAAATCGCGCAAAAATACATGGAGAGAGTGCGCTGGCAACGTTCCAAATCAAAACGTACCTATTGAAACAAGTGTACACACAAATGTAGTACCTGTCTCTTACGCAAGAGGGTGGTTTTGATTCCCATCACGGGAGAAATGTATGATGTATATTTTTTTCCACGATCTGGTTGGTATGTATCTATAATATGTATTTATTTAGAATAGAAAAGAATATTACAGTATATTCATCAATTATCTGGTACCCATAGTACAAGCTTTGCTTTTGGACTTCCATACCATTATATAATTTGATAATTTGATTATTTTTCTATTTGTATTTAAAAGTAACAGGGACTTAATATAGTGTGAAGGAAAGTTATTTTTTTAGGACTATGAAGATTGCGAAAGACGGAAAGTTGTGGCAGATTTTTGTTGCCAATTGAATTTATGACCATATGCATATTATGCATAATAGCAGAACAGTCACGCCTCCTTACAGAAAAGTAAATCTTATTTAACATAAATGACTCGCATAAGAAGAAAAATATTCAGAACCACTTCAATAGCTACAAATTCAATACATCCACACATCATACATTACAATTTATGCAGGCCTGGTATAGGTAAGTTTTACGTACTGAATTGTTACTTTTAATTTAATTTTTTTACACAAAATCTCAAGTCCTAGCTTTTAACAAACAACCCTACAGATTTATTTTGTGAAAATTGTAAGTTCTGATACAGCGGCGTGACCACAGATAACATTCAAATCTTCTGATACACTGTAAGCTGGTCACAGATAAGAAATCAGATCGAAGCTAGAAATTATAACTCTACAAGTAAACTATAGCTCGCCGCCTGGAGTGATTCACAACATTTTAAGACCGGGCCACATTTAATAATACAGGCCGTGCCTGCGTTTTATTACTAGTTTCCAGTGCAGACGGCCAGCTGAAATATTTAGTTGTAACAACGCGAGCTTTTACGTTATTGCATGCGCTTTATTGCATCTAGGGAGTTGGCATTGTACGTGGCAGCGTCGTATTCCCAGTCTGGAGAACGCCACAGCTTTCGACAATATCCAATTACCGTTATAGTCAATCAAGCCTTGAGTCAGACCTGTGTAGCTCACTTAAACTAATTTGATTCTTTTCTAATTACGATTTCTAACGTTTATGCTATTTGGTGGTAATTTTAGTGACCGATGTTTCGAAGACTGCAGAAACCATGCTCATCGGATAGACCGAAATATTTAACGTCACAATGAATCCGGGCTCCTGCCGACTTTTAATCAATTTATTTTGTCCGATCTACGCGCGAAAAGCTACAATTTATTAATATATTTAATAGGATTGCTAACTTGAGGTAAAACTTATCCATCTTCTATTTTGAACTTAGGGTGGTTTTTCATTTCAGTAGCCTTGCGAATTATCCTTAGCTAGAATCGGTGCTCTTTTGTGAATATTTTTGTTTTTTCAAGACCATCATAACGTAATGGTTGCGATGGTCTTGATCTTTTGGGTGGTCTTACAAACATACAAACTACAGACTTCTTTACTTTAACATAGTGTTTTTCTAGTGTCTGTGAGATTATATATTTATAAAACGTATTTATTAACAAAAGTAAAATATGTTCAACTATGATTTATCGTTTACCCGGTATACAAAATATAAGCTTTGCTACTCGTAAGTTCGGCTCGGATAATGTGTAAAATGTATTGGCACGGTCCTTATACAAGTGCCATCTCAAACTGGCAACATAAACGATATTTATTTCCGTTTGTCACGCCAACGCGCCGCGACACAGGCGTAATTTACCTTTATGTGAACGTATTCCTAGTAATGCTCTCGTAAAATTGCGGTATAAAAAAATAAGCGCCTCACATAACCAATAAAAGAGTGGACAAGTCTCGAGATGCTTAAATATACAAAGTCCTCTAGATGAAAACATATTTGATATGAAACAATGACAAAGTTTAATAAAACTATTTAATTGTTTTATTATCGACAGCAAAACTAGATTTTAATTGAACCTGATGTTAAGTGAATACCGCCGCCCATGGACATCGGTTACACCCGAGGGTTGCAGATGGCAAACTTTTGAAAATTGGCCTCCAGCTACCTCACTCACCAGACGAAACGCGAATGTATACTTCCACTTGACGCCGGTCTTTTGTGACGTCGTGGTACTTCCCCGGACAGACCTGCCCATACGTGCAACAGTTAAGACTGTTGCGTGGCCCTACCACAGTAGTACGAAACATACCCAACTATTATTTTAAATATTACATAAAGGCCCAAGTCTAATAACGATTTTACCTCACCATCTAGGACGCGTTAAATTAGTAACTAACGGTAAAAATTGCGTCGCAATTGCGTTAATTTCATCTCAGGTTGTTCCTGTATTAAAGTAGAGTCTCATAGCTATTATAAATATCGTGGAAATTGCTAATTTACGTCATAAAAGCAACCGTGACGTATTCAATGTAATTTCAATTTACGAATGGAAAAGATACCGTAACAATATTCACCATTCGTAAGAAATATCACGACCCCTCTATTTCCATTCGCAAATTAAGGTGATTCTTGACGCTTAACTTTTCCCGCCAGCCCGGCGGACGCACCACTCCGGTAGAGTATTCGCGTCACGTAAACCGAAACTCCTGCCAGACGTTCAGGTGTAAACATAAATATACATACAAACAGACACGAATATGTATAATAAATGCGATATACATTTGCCGGCGTGTGCACCGAGGCCGAGTATCAAATTTAAATATACATCGGGACTCTACGTGCTTACTCATTACTGCATACAGCGTGTTCCAATTTCCAATACAGTCGATAAATACTATAAAATATAAAATATGTTGTTTTTACTATAATAATTTATAGTCACAAATATAACACATACATTACTTTAATAAACATAACTAACTTAACTCTACTGGAGTAAAGTTTCAGCCTATACATGTCCCACTGCTGGGTAAAGGCCTCCTTACTCTGTACAGGTATCAGGGCTTGGCCCCCCCTGCGGATTGGCAGACTTCACATATCTTCGAAATATTTTTCTAAACGGCTGATCGCCACACCGAAGAAAATCTCAACGTCTTTTATCTACTTAGTTTATTTTATATATTCGAACAGCCTGTATAAGCG